TAAACTGGACTGAAGTACTGAAGTAAATCACTTGAATCAGCAGAGTGATTACCACCTCTAGTGGCTGTAATGACCACAGAATCAAAGCAGTTGAATGAATATTTGTCTAGTAGCATCAACCAGAGATGAAAATGCGATCAGTCTTAACAGAGCTGTTCACTGTTCATATCTGCACATTATTAGTGAAAGAAGCATTTAAGAGTTAAGTTGAAGAATTTGGATGGCAATCAAATCAAAAAAACTACCAAAAAGTAGAAAATCTTTTAGGTGGAAATGGGTTTGGCCTTTTCTTGTACTATTGCAATTGATTTTAATTATCACTGATGAAGCCACTTGTAAATGAAAGGGTGATGCAACATGTAAAGCTTAACTTTGGTGTTTCCCAGTATTTTCTTTCTTCTACGTCTCAAAGTTATAAAAAGCAGTGGGCAATCCTTTATTGATCCCCCAGAGTGGAAATCCAGGTGTTACAACAGCACAGATTAATAGAGAAACTAAAATAAATAATTAGAAAGTGTATAAAATAAGAAGAGAATAAAATAGAAACTACACAAAAGCAGACGGTACAATGTTAGGTATATATATACACACCATATTTTAAATATGTAGTTTTCAAACTAGGTCGCAGGGACCAACAGGGTTCCTTGAATGGGTTGAATAGGGTCTCCAGCCATTTTTTGGAAGTTGGAACAAGAAGCGAATAAATAAGGGTGGTTGTTTTGATTGATTGTAATTTATAGTGATTCCAGTTTGTTTAATGATTGACTGTGACTTTTATTCTCAAACCTAAAAACATAATAATAATACTGAGGGGATTGCTTAGGACAAATCCCCCATCTATTGTGGGGGACCTTGACATGAGAAAGTTTGGGAATCCCTTAAATGGTTTATACAAAACCAGTTTATACAAAAAGAGTTTGCCCCACCAGCCTAGTGTCACACAATAAAGAGATGCAAATAACAGGGTGAACTGTGGCACCTGCAGAGATGTTTTGAAGATATTTTATTTGTTTTTACTGAAACTATAGACGTGAAGGTTTTGGAATTCCATTGTGAAGAATTGTTTTTCAAATTTCTAAAGAAGCTCATACACAGGGTTTCCAACCTCAGTCTGTCGCTGAAGATCTTCCAACCCTGTGTTACTTTGTTTGGACATTTTAATAAGGCGAGGGCGATCCCAAACAGATGTTGTTTTATGAAGTGGAGTTTAAAGGAACACTTTGGCACAAATTAAGTGAGATGATGAAGGTGGGTGGAGAGTCTCTGAATTCATAAACAAAGAATTAAATCTGTGAGAGACAGCAGACATGTAGCCCTCTGGGATTTCACAGGTCCATGATGTCCATGCACAGAATCAATATGACCTGTTTGGCAATTCCATGGCACTCAACTGTGTGCACAAAGAAAAGAAAAGTGACCAAAATTGACAATGAATTATGAAGTCATCACAAGCGACAATTCAGTGGCATTAGAGCAACACACACCCCACCAGCTCCAGAAAATGACCTTTGACCTCTGAAATTCCTGAAGGCATAAAGACCATAGAAAAATATCAAATTATATCAAATCATTATAGTGAAAGGTGTGGTGAAAGTAATCCTGTATACAAATAAGTTTAAGCTATAAGACTGTTTATGGATTTATTCATCACATTCATGTATTCTGACAGCTCATCTGTCACCAACCGCCTCATCCAATAGGAACCAGGCTGAAAGTTCACATGGTGGAAGTTGTCTTCAAAATAAAAGCATCAAGATTGTGATTTGTGGAGAGAATTAACATTGTGATGGACAGATACACTTTTGATCATACTGGCATTTTCCTATAAATTACACATGATGGAGATCCTGTTCTGATCACATAAAGAAACTGTCTGTAACTCAATTAATTTATCAGTAATGATTTCCTGAAAACCATTTCCTATCAGGATCATCCATGTTTGCTTGTTGTATAGTCTGCTTACACTTACATCTCTGCTATTGTTTTGTTTTGTATTAATTAGGGAAGTCAGCACTGCGTTATTCATGCAACACTTAACCATAAAAGTGACATGATATTCACTGTGATAATTAGCAAGTTTCAGGTTGCTGCAAATTGATTTCCATATGTACTATAGACACTTCAAGTAAACTCAAACCACTGTAGGAATGAAAGAAAAATGTTGTGTTCATCTACAATTGTCAGCAGTAATGCAAAATGTTCTGTAAATGAGCTATTGTTTATGCTGGCATCAGACAAGGATAAATGCTGTCAAATGACGAAAAACACCAATTCCACAGAATGTAAATCCCACCTTTTGAATGCATGTTACACTGTTACGAACATACCTGGTACGTGGTAACCAAGCCGACCCTGAAACTAGAGGTTCCTGGTCTGAGCCTTGCAACTCACAGCTGCAGTAGGTAACTTTTATTGAAAGAAAAACTAATAGTTTCATTATATAATGATAGTAGTACATGAGACAGATAATCTGTGAAAAATCAGGTTCCTCTGGCTCCTCCCAGTGTTCCTAATGGCATTTGCAAGAATCTGGGCTGGACTGAAACAACCAATCAGAGCCAAAAAACATATAACAACACTTTGGGTTGGAGGCTTGATGATAGTTGATTGTTGGGGTCCCAAAGCCCTGGGAATGAGACTCAATAGTCAACTATCTTTCTTGGCTTTGACTGGTTGCTTTTGTTCAGGCCCAGTGGATTAATGCAAATTCCATTACAAGCAATAGGAGGAGTTAGATGAACCAGCTTTTTTTTTCACAGATGATCTGTCTCATGTTCTACTGTCAGGATATAGTTAAAGTTTAGCAAATACGACAAAAGGTTATTTTGAGAAAAGCTACCTACTGCAGCTTTAACCCTACATGTTTACTCATTTGACATAATGCTGAATAAGCATAATTCATAAAATCACACTGTAAATTAATTAAAGTGAACATGACATATTTATTTTATAGCTTACTTCCCCCACTATCAATCAGCTCACAGCTGGGGACTGTCACCCCCCAATCACTGCCACAACCAACCCGGTCATCACAAGAAGCCAGGTGAGACGGCAGCTCACCAGGACCCAGATAAAGAAGGCCAGAGGTCCCGACGACGTCAACCCGAGAGTCCTTAAGGTGTGCGCAGAGCAACTGGCAGGAGTGTTCCAGCATCTGTTTGACTGCTCACTAAGGTTGAAGAAGGTGCCAGAGATCTGGAATACTTCCTGCTTAGTTCCTGTTCCCAAAAAAGGAAGACCCAGCGATCTCAAAGACTTCAGGCCTGTAGCCTTAACGTCACATGTTATGAAGACCTTTAAGAGACATGGTGACGAGATGACTTTTGCACTATTTATATTTAATTTCCACTTGTACAGTTTAGTTTTAGTTTTTTAGTTTTAGTCAAGTTTAATTTTCTGCTCATAGTTTGCACTCAATGTCCTACTTGAACAATACATAGTGTATATACTTTACTTTATAGTTTTTATGTCTTCTATTATATTTTGTATTTTGTGATATTTTTATTGTGATATTCTTTGTTCTCTCTTTGGCACTACTTTGCCCTATTGCTGCTGTGTCAACCTGAATTTCTCATTAGGGGGATAAATAAAGGAATATCTTATCTTATCTTATCTTATATTTATACAGACAGTACCCATCTCATCTCAGCTCATCTTCTGAAATCATTCAAATCCTCTGCAGTCAGAAATCAGTGCTTCTTCTTGTTCCTACAGTGCGCTGTTTGAATGCCGTCTGTGCAGAGTTTGACACTAGAAGGATGTTTTCACATTCATCTGCTGAAAGTGGAAAGTTTCTCTGTGCTCACTGGAAATCAGATTTTAAGGAGCGGGGCCTACCAGCATGATTTGTAACATGACCAATAGTTTGGAAGTCAGTCCTGGTTCAGTATGTAACTTGCACAGTGTGATGTAGAAACATAAAGCAACCAGTGCACATCCACTGAGAATGGACTTTACAGTGAAGTAGGAGACATCTTGTGTCCAGCTGGAAAACTTTAGAAATCAACAACATTAGCATATTCAGAGATTCTGGAATGTTTAATGAGGTAGAAGGAGTAGATGACTTTTAAAGGATTTGTGGAAATTAAAATGTTTGTGTAAAAACAAACATGGCATTTAGTGGTGTAGTTGCAACACCTTCGCCTCACCCTCCTTGCTGTTCCTAGCATACAGGAGGCCCTATCTAGAGCCAGTTTTTGGTTAAAAAAATGCTGATTATACACTAATGAAAACATCACCCACACACCTATGAATATTATATTCCATTTCTGACAACAGATCCTCCTAAACATTACACACTGGAGCTTTAATACATGAGAGTGGGGGGGATATTTAATCTCAGTGACTGTTCAAAGAAATATGCAGTCTGCAGGGAGCCTCAAACAAGAATATAAGAATTCCAAGTGTAATTCTTTGTTTATGATTTTATTTCTTGTCCAAAGTCAAGTATTTATTGGAATCATATCATCTCCTATAGACAGGAAGACAACGCTGCATGTTCATTAAGTGTAGGAATACACTGAATTCAGACAGTGTCCTATTTAAAATGCAGTGTTAAAGTTAACTTAAAGATCAGTTTGTCTATTTATCTGCACATTTTCACATTGCACACTGCTCAAACATAAATGCACTTATCTACCTTGAATGTTAGAGGGGGTAGGGGTGTGCTTAGGGCCCCAAAACAACCCTGACACAAGCTTCCAACTGTAAAATAACAGTCTACATTATTTTGTCTCTCCTTTTTATTCTTTTTTCATATTTCACCACATTTTCTATTCTGCTATCGCCCTGTAAAATGTTTACACGTTAGATGTATAATATAATATATAGAATTTCAATTTTACGACCCCTTTTTACGGGATCAAAACAGGTTTAGTGGTCCGGGTTTATTTTGAAAGTAATGACCGGAAGACAGCGTTTAAAGACACAGCACCTTGTCAGTAGGCATGGGGTGGTCTCACCCTCCCCACTCCTCCACGTTCCGTCATCAGCGTGTCCCGCAGATCACAGATCTCCTATAAGCGGCTCCCCGGCCGACGTGCGGACAGTGAGCGTGTCGGCGCGCAGAGACATGGACAGGAGGGCACACTGAGAGCAGCAGAGGACTTAAAGCCGCGGAGCGCATTCCTGTGAAAGGAACAACTCGGAACTAACATCAAACACTCACATCTGACATATTATCACTAATCCCCTTTGCTGAAGACCCGCGGGAAGCCAGTTTGCCGGTTGCCAGTGCGCGTTTTGGCACTTTGGATACGCGAGGACAGATGCTGTTTTTGTTCACTTCGCATTGATTTTGATCATTATTGACTTGCTCCATGCCAAAGAACAGGCCAGGATTATAATTCCCTGTTGGATTTAAAAGTCATCGATTTTACATCAGCACCAAACTTCTCTTTACGCGTCTGAAGTTTGCGCACGGAGATGGCGCAAAGGGTACGTCTGATTTGACAGATCATTTTTGAATTTTCATAATTGAAATGGTTTGCACAGGATTATTCATTTTCAGCATAGATCATTTTACATCCTTAAGGCGGATTCAAGTGATTAACTTCAGGTAAATGCATGCAGGAAAATATGAGGGGGACTTGTGAGAATTCAGAAAGTGTTTCTATAGTCTTATATAAATGTCTACGCTCTTTACAGTAATGCCTGTATTACGAACACAATAAACACATTATAGGAATATAACGGTGCCGGGTAAAGTTTGTTTTTTCCCTGCCCTAAATGTCATCTCCAACTTTAACCCTAGTACGATGAGCTGGCTCATTACGGCGGCGCGATGGACGGAGTCGGAGTCCCCACCTCCATGTACGGAGACCCGCACGCCCCCCGGCCCTTGCCCCAGGTCCACCACCTGAACCACGGGCCGCCCCCGCACCCGACGCAGCACTACGGAGCCCACGCGCCGCACAACATCATGCCTACCAGCATGGGCAGCGCCGTCAACGACGCACTGAAAAGGGACAAGGACCAAATCTACGGGTGTGGATATAATAAGAATATTACTGTGCACACAAATATTTGGTTCCTATTTAATATGCACAAAGCTTATTTAAAAATGCAGATATTTCACATACAGATATGTCACATAATATATAACTAATCATATTTTCTGCTCATGAGATGTCATTTTCGATGCATTTCTGCTGCTTGAAACAAGAGAGAATTACGCACATTATTCATGAGGATTGCTACCATTCTCTGAACAAGTTGTTTGCATTGGAAACAAATGAAATAATATCACTGCAGCGGCGCATTTCCTCCATCGCATTAAAGAGGAATAAACAAATATTAGCTTTCCTTTGTTACGCACTGTTAATGTGAAATGTTATCTGCCGCTGCCGATAGTTCATACGGGCCTAAACAATGGCTGCAGAACCAACCGGGCCTCGCTCTGTGTGTGTGTGTGTGTGTTGCAGCCACCCTTTATTCCCGCTGCTGGCTCTGGTGTTCGAGAAGTGCGAGCTGGCAACCTGCACGCCCAGAGAGCCCGGGGTGGCGGGAGGGGACGTCTGCTCCTCCGACTCGTTCAATGAAGACATAGCCGTGTTTGCCAAGCAGGTAGGAGCGCACAGGGGGATGATGAATGAGAAGGAAAAGGATCTTCAGCCAGAACTCAAACGCTTAATTTTGTGGAAACAAATGAAATGAAATGACTGTTTGGGTAATAATTTAGTCAGTTTAATGAATTGTTGAAAACCGCCTAATTTACTGTCTTTATTCTATTTTTGTTTAAAAGAAATCCGCTTGCAGCTGACGCCTCTCTTTTTCTCTCCCTCTTTAGATCCGCGCAGAGAAACCTTTATTTTCTTCCAACCCGGAGCTAGATAACTTGGTGAGCACTTCCTTTCATGCTCCCAGCCTTTTTATTACATACAATGAAAGAGAAATAATATTGGTATTATGTTGGTAATTAGAAAATGCACACATGTAGCCATATTATGGCACTCTATAAAACCATGTCTTGTTCTCTTATTATTATAAATAATATCCCAATCCCCCAAAACTGTTTTTCAGATGATTCAAGCGATTCAAGTCCTTCGATTCCATCTCCTGGAATTAGAAAAGGTAACTTCTTTTCTCTGATTCACACCTTTGACGAAGTGTTTTATTATTCTGTGGGAGAATCATAATGCCAGACGCGTATTATTTCGCAGGTCCACGAGCTGTGTGACAATTTCTGCCACCGGTACATCAGCTGCCTGAAGGGGAAAATGCCCATCGACCTGGTCATAGAAGAGCGAGACGTCTGCAAGTCGGACTTCGATGACCTCTCGGGATCCTCCACCAACCTCGCGGATCATGTGAGTCTTTCTTTCATCCATTCTTTCTATTTTCAAATTCAACAAACTACTACCCCCTTATATCCCCATATCATTTTCTAAAAATAGGAAATAATAACAACACAATGCATAATAACGAATAATAATAATTAAGCAGGGTACAGTAAGGGAAGACAAATAATAGTGTGCAAAAAAAAAACAACAGTTCAATAATTATTTAATTATTTTTTTCACCAGCAGCAACTCGATCTGATCGTTTCAGGATTGTTTTTATTAAAGAACTGTGCGGGTTGCAGGGGCGGATCTAGAGAAATATTTATGTGAGAGGGTGGCATGGGGACTTAAAGGGGTGTCAGAAATATGTGAAGATTTAATCACAAACAATCACATACATCAATATTTGCTTGGAAAACGAATATATAATAATATATATTTGAGCTCAAAAACATTATTGTGGCACATTAATAAAGCATTGAATATAAATATCTAAAGGTGGCATTATAAATCAATACATTGTTTAATTACCAAATCTTCAGACTATTCTAAATATTTGTCTTTTTTCATTGAACTTCAGACTATGACTGAGTCTAAATGTGGTCATAATATAATTTTTTAACATGTTATTTTTTAATTTAGTATCAAATGTGTTAAATTTGACAGCAGTTGACACTGAATTGGAGTGGAAAGGCGATTTTAGGGGTAGCAATCACCCCATGTCATTCTTCTAGATCCGTTCCTGGTGGGTTGCTCACAGAGGCTGCTTCTAATTGTTTCTAACTGTTGTTATTCTTATTATTATTAGCATCGGGGCTAGGGCTGCACGATATGGGAAAAATGTCACATTATTTTGACAGATACTACAATTGCAATATTATTCACGATAACAGTGGGAATGATCATTTTTGTATCACAAATTAAATTTTCACTAGAAAATCGCAATGATGATTGTTGTGGTCTGTACGAATCAAACATGTTTTCTTACACCAGAAAAACAGAATTATAAACCAGGGCATCTCTGCAGAGCTACCGTACTTCATTCTAATGCTGTTTGTCACACATTTTACCTTTATTTGAATAATAATCCAATTAACTGTGCTGCCCTAATTAGAGCTGCACAGTAAATCAAAATATTATTGGCCTGCAAATCTTGTTCTCCAGATGTTAGAAAACATGTTTGTTTGGTAACATGTTTGGTTGTTTTAAGTTTAGGTTTTTTATAGTAAAAATTTGTGATGCAAATATGACCATTGCTAGTAATCACATTTCAGTTGCAATATCTGTCAAAATAATCATAATGATTTTGCAGCCCTTGTTAGCATCATTGAAAAGTGAGCATACAGCTGCTGTAGACAAGTGGTTACCAAACTGGGGGTTGGGGCTCATCCAAGGGGACACACAATAAACTAGAGGGGTCTTGAGGTGATTATAAGGAAATAAAATGCGATTTTAAAAATCTCACAGATCTCATAAAGTGGTAAGACGTTTGTTGTGTTGTGTTTTGGTGAATTGTGTTAGAGACTGACATTTTAGATCATATCTCGCCTGTAAATGAGACTGTAAAAAGTGGTCAGACATGATGATCTCCAGCTGCCGGTGTCATGTTTGCTGTTGGGCTTCGGCCCCTCACAGCCCGGTGTTGCTCGGCCAACAGGATTATTATAGCAGGAGTAGAGGGGGTCTTTGTCAGACATCCCCCCTGCTGTGTGCTTTACAGAGCCTCTTCCTATTTCTGGCACCTGTGTTCATTTAAAAATTCAGATGTGGGCGTGATTGAGAGTTACAGTAGCAGCAGCAGAGTGACTGTATGGGTTTATTGACACCCTGCTACAACTATTGATTGCTGGGCTGGCTGACTCCTCCATGGACAGCTGTATTTTTACAGTCACCTGCTCAGCAGTGTCCCATGGATGACCTCCACTTTACTTCTAGCCACGTAGGAGCTTGTGGTTATTACAGACGGGCTCAAGAAAGATTTGTGAAATAGATGAATAGATTTTGGAGACACTTTATAAAAATGCTTAACTAATGCATGAATGAATGCAGGATGTATGACAATTACGGTTTCCCACCATTAATGATAAAATAACTTTTTGTGATTAGCTCAAGTTACTTCATACTTTATTTGATATGAAACCAGAGGCGTTTCCAGAGGTAGGGCTTCAGGTGGCAATGGCCCCTCCTTAAATCTGATTGGCCACCGCATTATCTTTCAGGGGTTGTACCCAGTCCAATTTTAAAGGTATGAAACTAGATGACCTAACGCATCTATTGGTACCAACCATGTCATGATAGCATGTTGGGGTTAAATAACACTACAAAGTTAAGTTAAATTTTGGCTATGGAAAAACTGGCATGGTCACTTTCAAAGAGATTCCTTGACATCTGACCTCAAGAAAATTCCATGCAGTTTTGGGCAAAACCATGCAGTTTTTTGCATGTGGTAGAAATGTTTATTTTCACTTAGTGTATTTGAATATTTCTGCATACTGGGGTCCATAGACAGTGTTGGAATTGCATCAATTGAGAATGAATGTAAAGCTCAGACACGTACTTCGTGCCACCCCTGCAGAACGGAAATGCCCTATGCCACTAATTAGATGGATTCTTCTTAAATAAAAGTTTTATTTTTAAGGACCATGCACTTTCTTAGCCTTTCTGATTTAAAAATACCCTCATATTTTTATGAGAATATACCCAATGGTATTTCTGACTCATTTACAACATAGTGGGTGGAACATTAATTGTTTTTGAAATTATACTTAGTATCAAAGAGGCTGAGAAAATGCTGAAATAAACCTTTATGTAACAAGAATCGATTTAACTGGTTGCACACCAATTAATGCATGAAGTAACATGATGATCTATTTAGTGTAAACTAATCACAAAAAGTTATAGTGACTTTATCGTTTGTTAGTGGTGTTTAAATCATCATGAGCCATGCATTAGTTAAGCATTACTTATGATTTGTACCCTTGTTACATAGATTTGAAGTGCATTTTTATATGAATATAAAATATAGAGGATGAAAATAAACCTTAATTTTACATCTCCCTTCACTCTCTTGAAAATACAGTACAATGAATAGTGGCACAGAATATCACCTCGCTGCAGCTTCAGTGAAAAACAGTGTTGACTTCAGTGACTCCATCATTCTCTTTGTTCTTAAGAGTGCAATTCTTAATATGCCTCCTTCTGCATCAAGCAGCTAAACACAATTTCCGTGTGTGTGTGTGTGTGTGTGTGTGTGTGTGTGTGAGTGTGAGAGAGAGAGAGAGAGAGAGAGAGAGAGAGAGAGAGAGAGAGAGAGAGAGAGGCCACCAGTTGATGTGACAGGACATTCTCCTGCTGTAATGCCTTCCTCCTAACGGCTGCTGCATAATAGATGTGCAGCTCTCGTCTGGGCACAAAGACATGCACAGCTGTGTAACGTACACACACTAAGCACAGAGTGTACAGCGAACTGTTTATCATTCACATGGGTTAAAAAACAGCGTGTGAATTTACAGGTCAGGTTTGTGTGTAAAACAATCATTTGATTCTATGTTTGGTTTGTTGGACTGGTTGAGTTTCTGTAGTGATCACCACTGGGCCATAAGCTCATACTGATAGTTCAAACTGATCTTTTGTTCCCTGCAAAAATATCTTAACATTACACAAATTTAAGTAGTGGTCTATGGAGTATGGACTTTATTTTTTGAAAGTGAGTGAATACCTGACCGTACAGTTTTTCTTCATCAGATTCCAGTCCACATTGACCTATTTAAAGAATTTTATTGTCATTTTCGTCAAACCTGTGTGCAAGATAGTCACTCATTTCTAGAAAATTCCACAATCACAGGAAACTGCACAGTGAGCAAATAGGCCAACCTATCTTTATTGGCATCATTTTTGAAAATAAAAATAAATCACACCTTACAATTAGGAGATAATTTGACACCAATTTGTTTTATTTTTGACCATTTCCTGATTAAAAAACTAAATAAAAAATAATGAATTATCAGTTTTATTCTTAAAGGATGAAATAGCATTTAGACTGTCACATTTCATATACATTACAAGCATGCTTCATTGACCCATTGAGAGTGTAGATGGTTGACAGGTGATATGAGACAAAGATCTGAATCGGTTCTAAAGGTCTGGATCGAAATGGGGATGTTAAATTACACGATTAGTGCTTCAAACAAGGGGCGGGGGCCTAACAGCATGATTTGTGACATCACAAATAGTTTGGAAGTCAAACCTGGTCAAGTATGCAACTTTACAGAGCGATGTAGAATTCTCCTTAAACTGGGCCGCTCTCTGGAAAAAACCTCTGGATCAGTTCGATAAATTAGTATTCAAGCATGTGTTATCTCCTGGAAACTCAGCCTTCACTCACTCCTTCTTTGATCTATACCTTAACTCAAGCCTTGCAGTGTCCCATGAGTCTGTAACAAAACGGCTTCTTCGTTACTGGAGCACAAGTGGCAGAGTTATACATCTATAATGTTATAATGCCCAGTGTGACCTGGTTGTGCTGAACAAACATCCCTCTGTGCAAAATATTGGCGAGAAACATAAAGCTTGTGTACATTTTGATTGCTGTCTTTACCTTCTGTTTGCTGCTGCAGGTCACTTCATGTAGGAAACTATACAGTGAGTCACCTGGATATCAGTGTGAGGCAACGAGCTACTGTATAAGGCAAACACAAGTGTCAGTGTTTGGTAGAAGGACTGTCCTCCGCTTCTGTTAATTGGGTTTTAACAGATGGGGCGTTAGGAAATAAGACCTTCATTAGCTTGATAAACGTGGAAACACATGGCGCCTCTTTGAGTAGCTGTGCGCACTGAGGAGTTGTAATTATTGTGTGGCTGGATAAGAAAAGAGGGGCCATCATTGAGAGGCCTCATTCACACTGCGCCATTGTCCCACGCTTCTTGTTGTCATCTGCCGAGCTCTTCATCTGATCACCATCCGGCAAACAGCTGACGCAGAGAGTCTGAAGAGGGAGATCTGCTGTTTGCTTTGGGCTTACGGCTGTCTGAGTGGCCTGGCCAGTCAGCCCCATAAATACAGGGTCTCTCCCCAGCACTGGTCACATAAACAGCCAGGACACAGGAGGGTCCACATGCTGCAGGGTTACTCACCTATCCTCTAAACTTTTTCTGCGACTATATTTAAACCTTCCTCTTGGACAGAATGGTAATGTCTAACATTTTTGCCTTCCTATGCTAACGCAACTGCTTTGTGTCTTGCATAATGGACCTCATACTGGACCTACTGGACCTTCCTCATCTATTTTTTCTCCCCTCTCCTCTCTTCTTCCTCTCCGATTCCCTATCTCCTGTCCCCTGGTGTGCGGACCTTTCCCTGACCTCTCAGAACCCGGCATCCTGGAGAGACATGGATGACGCCCACTCGACGCCCTCTGTGGGCACCCCGGGACCATCCAGCGGGGGACACGTCTCCCAGAGTGGAGACAACACCAGTGAACTCGGTAAGAGCACCCGCAGGCCTCCTGCGTCCTCTTTCATATCAAAGCTCTGACTTTCCTGTGACCTCTCTCTGAGGCAGGGACACTGCTGCCTGGGGTTCTTTCAAGAAAGTTTGTGCACTTTGTTTATCTTATCACTTTATCTTAATTTGCATTGATTAAAACAGATAATCTATGTTTAGTGAGGAGTGCTCTTGCAGGTATTTAGCCTAACTGTAACCCTAATGTGCAGCTGAAAATTGTTTCCAGCAAGTTTTCTCATTTGCTGTTTCCATCTGTTTTTTTCTTTTTAAATGAAACTAATTTAAAGATTTCCATTTACGGTATAATGGGCTATGGGCTGAGTGCAGACATAATACGGATGTCAAAGTATTGAGAGACTGTAGCTACCATTGAGGAGTGAGTTATGTTTTTTTCCTGGCAGTTTGGGAGTTTTTGCAACCGGGGGTTGTTCTATAGTTTTAAGAAATGCACATGGTGCTTACTGAATTGGGTGATTTACATGATTTCACATATCATTTTAGAATTTCTTTCTGACAGCGTCTTTTTAAACTAAATTTAGACATTTGTGATAGTAAATTTTATCTGTAGAAGATGTCATTAGTATGTCTAACATTGTTGGTTTTGGCCTTTTATGGAGCTGATAATGTTTAATGTGGTGTTTAAAGGACAAATTCTCCGAAAATAGTACTTTAACTTCAAATAATAAAAACAGCAAGTGGGCAGTTAATGTTGATTTTCCCATGTAATTGAGGCTCCATTTACAGTCAGTGTTGGTTCTCTATTTTGGGTCAGTTAGCGCTGGTGAAGAGATCTTGTGAATTGACTCTAGTTGTCTGCTGTTATTGTCCCTCTGATGCCATCCAGCCCTGCTCCTTCTTGTGTCGCCCTGGTGTTCCTGCACTTACTGTGATTTCTGATGTGCTAATTGGAGGCTATAAGGGTTTTATGGCTTGTTTTTGTTTTTCTCCCCTTTGGGCGCAGTAAAAATAGAATGGACTTTAAAGCAACTTTCCACCCTCTGCCCATCAGGCATCAAGGAGCAGAGCACTGAGGAGAACAATAGGAGGATGCTTTGCAAGACAAGAGAAACTTAGAGGATTAAGTGACAATCAGAAACAGATCAAGACTCTCCCTTTGATTTTACACCCGCCGCTTTTCAAAAATCATCTTAGCTTCTCAACTTCACCTAAGACCTAAGAGTGTGACACGTGTGTTTTGGTAAATCTTAATTCAGTATCTAGAGGTCGTATACAGAGGCGAGCTGAGAAAGGCCGCTGTGTGAATAGCTTCTTTCCTTTAGGCTTTTTTTAAACAACAGTGGGGGGAAAACCCAAGGTCCATGCCCTTTTGACCTGAGAGAGAATGCATAGAGGATGGGGGTGCAAAAAGCCCCCCCGTAGGGATGTAAGGACAGAGCACTTTATGTATGAGGAACAAAGGAAAAGAAGAGGGCAGAATGATCAGAGCTGTGTTTGCTGCTGCAGGATCTGTTGCATGCTACCTGCTGCTTCTCCGCGGGCCTCCCTGCCTTGTTTCCAGTCTATTCTCATGCCAGGGAAGAGTCAAACACACAACCTGAAAAGATAGAAAGGACAGTTAGAGGCGTATCATGCTAATGGGGCTCATTTGGAGCAGGTAGATGGCCTCTATACATATCAGATCATAACATGTTTGGAGTTCAGTGCTCGGAAAGGTACACTGATGTGAGTGTGAATGCAGAGAAGGGGTTAGGGTTATGTTCATATGTGCAATTACTCTGCATCATCACACGCTGGTCCACTATGGCAGTGTCATGTTTCAACAAGTGCTTGGTAAAAGTTTGGTTAGGTTAAGGCAACAAAACTGCTTTGTTAGGAAAAGATTGTTAGTCGAGTATGTTACCTAACTTAACTTTACTTACGAACGTTTACTTCTGGACACAAACAGCAGTCTCATGGGGGAAAGTCCTTTGTTTGTTTGAGCCATACATCCACCTCCTCTTATGTTGTGTCTAGGGTTAGGGTTGTGCTGAATTAGGGTACCGGCACCTTTTTTGGTCCAATTCAGGCACTGATTGGTGGGTCCATGACAGGCTTTGGCGTGAGACTGAGCAAATGATGTGCCTTCATCACCAGCCTGCTAGGTTTGTGTCCCTTATCCTTCTAGCAGTCACCCTGGCATTTTTTTGTACAGATGCACTGACTCCATAATCTTGTACCTTTGCCCAGTATCAGTTCCAAATCCAGAAAGTTTCCTCCCTCCTCACTAGCAAGGTCCATATATCGAGATATATACAATGTTGAGTAGGAAGGAACTTTAAAGAGACTGAGGTGATACTTGACATAAGAATACAATTAAACATAATTGTGAGAAACATAATTGCTCCATGGATTATGCTCACTGGCAATGATTTTTTCCAATTCGGAAAATCTGACGTACTTTTATAAGTCATGGAATGGTATTCAAGGAGAATAGCTGGACATACAAAGCTCAAGACTCTGGCTCTGGAAACCAGAGTTTACATCCTGTGTCGCACACGGTATTAGGTTTAGGCAACTGGTTAAAGTAAAGGAAAGATGGTGATTTCGGTCAAATTCGTCAAGTCAGTGTGCCCCATTTCATCCTTCAAGTCAGTGTGATGTTTTTCCCTTGGAAGGAATTCTTCTGGCACAAATTATGCCAAGAGCCAATGTTCAGTGGCAGTGCTGGAAGTACTGAAGTGGAAAGTACAGGTGGTGGATGGGCATGCAGCTGTAACTTTTGTGTCAAGACCAAATCAAACAAATCTCAGCAGTAAATGTTGAGGGACACATTCCTTAAAGTAAAAAGTAAACTGTTAACTGATGCACTGCAATTATTTTGATGGATATAATGTCATCATAAATAACGAAAAGGATTTTCTCAGTTACAAAGCTGTTTAAAGAAAATATCTTAAGCCTTTGTTGGTTACAAATGTATTCATTACATTCATTAATTTATCCCAAAACAGTGTCTAAAATGGGTACTGGCACTTTTGATTTGGTCCACATGAGTACCCTTACTTCTTACTAATTGCTAAAAATAACTACTTTGTTTGATGCATGCCCCAAAACAGAGAGGACACTATTCAGAGTCATTTAGAGACACTGTGATTGAGTGCAACAACAAAACAATCTAAATTCATACTTTTTCCAAAATGAAAGGGAATCCTGAGTGTTTAAAATTTAATGACATTCCAACAGAAGACAGGAAGTGATTGTGCTGTCGTCACTGTAGTGGGATGTCATTAGTCATGCCTCCACAGTCCGACAAAACCTTTTAAAATCCACGTCTTTTGGGAACACTAAAGTGGTGGCGATGTGGCTTCCAGCCCTGGCTAACCACAGGTAGATGATCCATCCACTGTGCAGCTGGTGGTTTGGTTCCTCTGTAAGCTCCCAGGTTTTGGTTGTTGCCTTGTAAGCTGTGTGATATGCAGAGAGGGCTCACTTTGATACCTCAACCCCCAGGGTGACTGCTGTTGACCACAGCTAAAGGGGCTGAGCTCTCTCAGGAATGTTTTGGAAGGGGTCTGGGGGAGGACAAGGAAGAGGCTTGAAATGTCCATCACAAAGACACAAATAAAACAAAAGGCGGTGGGAGTGACTCAAAAACAAACCCTGCACACTTGTGTTGAGAAATGGAATGTGAGGAACAGGATGTGTTGCATCTTTTTGTCACATCCAGAGCCCGGAGTCAGGAGGAAGGAATGTGGAGGTGCTGACATGCCAATGACATCACAGCTTCACTCAGACTGCAGGCTAATGTCCCTTTGGCATCTGTGACACTGTGGATCTCAGAAATGTTTTAAAAAGGGAAGGAAAGACAGCGACGCAAAAGAGGTGGACAAAGAAAGAGAGAAATACACCATGCACAGAGAAAGGAATTCATTGGGCCTGCTCTCACAAAAATAATTACTCGAAAAAAAAGTATTCTTGAAGGTTGAGTTCAATCGTCGCACTCTTGTGCTATGTAGTTATGTAACTTCAGCTGACCCGCTGACCCACTGCATACCTCTCAAAATCTGAAACGGCCTGAATGCAGTTTGTCAATTGCGAAAGGCTCCTTTTTGATGATTAGCTCCTGGTTTGTATGACCAGCAGTTGTAATTAGCTGGTGGTCACACACACAGCACAGGGAACACACTCTTGATGTTGCCTTATGTACATCCATTTTTACGGACACTTCCCCTACAATGTTATGAGTCACGAAATTCCACAGATATCCTCTCGCTGCCATTTGGCATCCAAACTGCTTGGCTTTAACAGCTTTAAACAGTTGCGTCTCCCCATCAACAGCTTCTAATGGCCACGTTCACCTTCTCACACAGAGGATTCCCCACATCTTGGAAACCTTCCAGACTACTCCATTTAGAGCTGTGTATCATGTCTAATAAGGGGAGGGGCTGCAAGGTGTCACTGATGATGGATCAGCGCCCTGCTGAGCTCATTAGACAGGCCACGCTGGCTTTGCATCACTGATGCAGCTGGGAGTACTGCAATCAGTTCTGCTGGCTGCTCCGCACTTTGTCTTATGGACACGTCAACCACTGGCTTCTTTGGACAGCATTAACAGCCACTGAGCTACGGAGCAAATAAAATATGTGAAAATCTACAATGCAAAAAAATCTTTATCTTGCCAAGTAATTTTTGTCTGTTATTAAAATAAGACTACAAGATTATGTTGTGTTTTTTCCAATACAGACCAACTTTTTCTGACTGGTACAGTATATTGAATTTGGCTCAGTTTAAATTTAACTTAAGAAAAGAAGAGCTTTTTAGGCCTCAAAAATAGAAACAATGACTTGGTAAGATATGGATTTCTTGATTAGTTTTTTGCAATAACTTTTTCCCAGGTTGATGCACAGCAGTCTACTTCAGTGCAATACATGAATACTGGTTTATAAACTGTATACATCACACTGTAATTGCAAATTACTTTCCTTACCCAATCTCGAAACCATCTAACATAACCTCCAGTGAAGAGAAGGAAACACTTAAACACATAAACATAATGCACACCCACATGTACATGCATGCAGTTCGTATACATTAATAGATTTTAAGTAACTTAAAAAAAATTAAGCTACAATCATCAGTATTTAATAAATAGCTAAATAAATGAATATAAAATAGTACAGTAGAAATAGAGCAGACTGAACAGTCTGGCATACAACATGATCAGACCTGTGGCAAAGCTATAATTTGTCTAAGCTGTTGTCTATTACTGAGTTAGAGACACCAGAGTAGGTCAAAGCTGTCATTCTTTAACAAACTTGTAATATGGAGCGCTCACAATATCTCAATGGCTAATAAATGTTCTAAATACAGCAAGGAGTTTGAACATCCTAAATAGTGTATAGAGGTATAAATCTATAACAACACAGGATGTATGTAGGGTGAGGATTTTTGCTTTTTATTTCACCAGAATAGGTCTCATTGAGATTAAAATGTGAGTCCTGGCTAAGAAATACTGTACACTGTATAAGAGCAGCAGAGGTATATGGGGGTAGAAAGGGGAGGAAGACTTCTCTTTATATCTTACGGTGCTGTTTTTTTTGGTGTTTTTCTTCTTAGCCCTGGGGCAATACTCCAGCCATCCCTGCGGTAATGCCCATTCCCTCCATCTACAGGCCCCCCCCCACCTACTCCCTCTGGGGTCACGCGTGCAGACACTGGCAGGCAGGGTGGAGCGGGGAGGGTTGGGGGGGCATGGGTGAGGGGGGACAAGGGGGGCATGGGAGACTTGCACGGGTGTACGACTTTGAGACTGCACCGTCACACACTGGTTAGATTGGCCGAGTTGCCGGGGAACAGTCAGAAGCGATTAGTGTAGCAGAGGATCTGCCCTGCGGCTTTCCCCTCTCTGGAGCAGAAGAAAGAGGGATGAGGAGAGGAGAGGAGGTGGACCAGGGTGGGGTGTCGAGGGTGGGTGGAGGGGAAAACAGCGTGCCTTCCTTAGATATAATTAGGCCGGACGAGTCCTGTTTGTTCTTTTCTTTCTTTCTTTCTTTCTTTCTTTCTTTCTTTCTTTCTTTCTTTCTTTCTTTCTTTCGTTCTTGACAAAGATGAACTGTATAAAGTATAGTTTTATAATCTAAATATGACAGTACCACTCAAATATAAAACTCAAGTCATCATTAGCCCACTGTTTATTATTGAGGCCACTCTTTGATTTAGGCCATCATATATCAAACTGACTATCCCTTTTTCTTTTAAGAGATAGACGTGCACCAGCTTCATGAGTTAACAACAAGTAGGTCTTAGAAATGAATCAATTTAATCCAATTAATCATCCATTTTCTTTTAAATTGAACATATTCATTTAGCTAGAATACTGTAGTAGTTGCTATTTTTTCCTGTTTATTCATTCAGCTCAACATTGTGTCAATTTCTTGAAGGGAGTTGAAAGAGAGTTATTTTGTTTTGTTTTCCCTAACCCAAGAGTACAGATTGACAGTTGCTAGAAATTCAAACAGATATGTCAATTTAAGAGATGCTAAATCAAGTTTCAGTTGTTTTTGTGTACATTGATGCAACTAGCTATCTAGTTGGGTATGTAAGAAGATGACATTCCCATTCTTCGTTGGGCTGGTTGGTAATTGGCCCACCTAGGCTGCAACTATCAGTGTTTTCTAGAGCTTTCCTTAGTTAACTGTCATAGAAACCCGAACATATTCTCATTTTAGAGGCTGAAATCAGAGAAAGATTTTTCCTGAATAAAAATGACTCATGATGATGAGAATGATTCCTAAATAATCAAAATAGTTGCAGATCAATTTAATAGATGACAACTAATCGATTAATCGAGTAATTGTAGCAGCTCTGGGCCAAACCAGTTAAAAAAACAGTAAATAAAACCTCCACCTGAGGCAACCTTTGCCCATAAAAAGTAACTTAACAGACAGGCTGTAGGAGAAGTGGAGGACAAAACAAAGTAAAGACTAGAGGACAGAGGCAGTGCGAACCCTGTACCCTGTCTGTGACTCATAGCTGGACGCCATCCGTCAAAGCTCCCACAACCCCCAGAGCCCCCGACCCTAGAACAGTTCCTTTTTAATGTCAATATTCATTAGCTGAAATATTTATGCATGAATATGGCTCATATAGGCGCATTTGATTGATGCATTTCTAAAAACAAAAAGACATGCTAGGGCAAATCTTAAGAAAAGTAGGGTTCCTGTCCCGCCTCGGGGGAGGAGTCTCTCAGATGCATTATTCACATGCCCTCCAGGCAGGCTTTCAAGGCTTCTCTGCCCCGAGGGCAAGAAAAATAACCACCACTGTTAAAAGTAAATCATCTCGGCTGATGCACAATTAATGGCAGAGAGAGAGAGCGAGCGAGTTGCCCCTTGTGTTGCAAGATGGAGAGAGTTAGCTAGCAGGGGCGGAAATCTCTGCTTAAAGGAAGCCTCCTGCCTCGATCCACGCCAGCTTCCTGCTGAAATCAAACAGGGATGCTGCTAATGGCAGGATCCAGAACTCGGCATGACGCTGCGCTGCAGACAATCCGACACAGACATTGTCAGTGAGGGTGGGGGAAGGGGGGGTCAGTGATCACATGGGAACGTAAGGATGATGGCTTCACGCCCTAACGACCTACCCACCCACACCCACCTCATTCTGCCTCAGTACCCCAAATGACCGCCTCACTTCTGACTTCAAACAGCACAGCGTTTGATGTTATTGGGTTCAGACTTCATTCACAGACTTTTGTTTTTGTTTTTGTTTGTTGTTCATTTTACTTATAAGGAAATCATTAGTCTTATTTCAAACAGAGGTCACAAGTAAGAGTGCATAGTACTGAGTCCGACTGCAATCTGAACGTTCATTATTTCATGTCAGGCACACAGCTCCTGCAGTCATTACCTCATGTCAAACGCATGGCTCAGATTGAATTAATAGCTCTCGGTTTTATTGAGCTCCCACACTACAAACTCCTCTTCGTTATCCAGTGGCCGGGGAGTCAAGCAGAGGTGAGAGGAAGGATCTTGGAGAAATGTAATCTTCCTCTTGCCTGCCCTTTCTCTGCACATTTTTCGTGGAGGAGGATGAAGGCGACAGGGCCAAATTAAAGATTTCTCGTAACGTGATTCCTCTTGTCTCTGATCGCAGGAGATGGCCTCGACAACAGCCTAGCGTCACCGGGCACGGGAGATGAAGATGATCAAGACAAGAAGAGGCAGAAGAAACGAGGCATCTTCCCTAAAGTGGCCACAAATATAATGAGAGCGTGGCTCTTCCAGCACCTTACGGTAAGGGAATCTGTGGCTCAGAGGCAGAGCGGGTCGTTCCTTAATCGGAAGGTTGTAGGTTCTGTCCCCGGCTCCTGGTGCCTCATGTCAAAGTCTCCTTGAGCAAGATACTGAACCCCAAATTGCTCCCAATGCCGTGCATCGGTGTGTGAATGTGTATGAAGGTTAGTTTCTGTTCGATGGACTTTGCCATCACTGAGTGAATGTGTGTAAAAGCGCTTTGAGTGGTCGGAAGACTAGAAAGGCGCTATACAAGTACAGGTCCATTTACCATTTACCCCAGATCCTGTTAAATTTCTTCTCTATACAAGCCACATCCAGCTGTAGCTTTATATAGATTTAAAACACAACACTCCCTTTTCTCTCTAATAGCAACCCTACATTGATTTAACTTAATGCTAGAAATGAATGTTGTCCAACCCCAGCCTCTCCATCAGGCAACAGTTGTTTGAAATAATGCCTCTTTGCCCAGGAATGAGCCCAGGCTAGATTTCTCAAAGGCAAGTTCATCTTTGTTCTATTGTAAGAGACAGAGTAAAGACATACTCACGTCTAAAGGTCCTTTTTGAAATACCAGTCCTGGGTTTGAACAGAAATCAACATCAGAGGCCTTCCGTTCAAAAGCAGCAGCACTGTTTCGGTGCTCTGTGAGAGGGGGTGAGCAAGTCCCCTCGAAGAGAACTTTACCTTTTATCCAAGGTCCAAAAGATAACAGTGCTGCTGCCTCCTCTGTTTTTCTACCTCTCCCACTCTCAGATGTGTTATAACCTCGCAGTTGTTTAATTTGTAAAAGGCCCGCACAGGTCCTGTACTTGGAGTAATCCCTTCCTTTCCAAAGCCCACCTTTAGATTTTCCAGATAAAAAAAGGAGGATAATTGAATTATCCCCTCTCTGTTCACCATCCCCTTTCAGGCCTAATTTGTTAAGCACAAGTGTTTGCCATGGCAGGATGTGCCTATGAAAAGTGTGCAAGGGGACTTTGGCCTCTGAAAGGCCTATTGCAACACCCAAGCGATCAAGCATTCAGCAGTCGTTGAGAGTGTGAAAGGAGCAGGATTATGTTTTGTCAGACGTTGCAGTGTGAGGCCCGCGGTTGGTAGGCCGTTGGTGGCGGGAGGAGGGGTGGGTATTTCTGTCCACCACTAGCTGTAGCCTCCTGCTTTTGTGGTCCATTCTGAAGACCCTTAAAAGATCCCCTTCTGAGGAAGCTATAGAGAAGGCAGCTGTGAAAGGTTTCGATTCATTATATTATTCATTATCGGCCCATTAGCCTGGCCGTAACTGTTAGTTTCCATGCAACCCTGTATTTATACTGAGTTTGGGGAGCAAACCTGGAATCCACTGAAGGTCATAAGTGTCAGAGTCAACTGAAATGTGACTGTTTTCAGTTGAGGTACAAGATTAAATTCCCTGGTATGCTATGACTATGACTATAATATGTCCAAATCCGCCAGAATATAATTAGAAAAACAGACCCCTGTCTCACCCCTTCTTTTAAGTATCTTACATATTGTACTGCAATCAGCACAACTTGCAGTTTTCTGCAGAAGAAGGTCTTTAAATCTGATCAGAAATCATATGCAAAAGACACACATTGCCTCATCAGTATCAAAGTGATGTACAGTAGTGTGCATTGGTGTGGGCAACTGGGCTGGTCATGTACAAGGTATTATTTGTATCCAAATAATAATAATAATAATAATAATAATAACAAAATTGATTCATCCATTTCTGCCAATAGATCCTCCTAAATGTTACACACTAAATATTCTATTCTTTGCAGAGTTATATCAGTGCACAATCTACATAGAAAGGGTCTATCTTCATTCCAGCTCAAGTAAATTGAAGCTGTGCAGTGCATGTGCTTGCATGTGTGCATTCATTTTTGTATTTATGTGTTTGAGCTTGTGTGTGTCTGTGGTGTAACGATATATGTGTGTGTGTGTGTGTGTGTGTGTGTGTGTGTGTGTGTGTGTGTGTGTGCGTGGACTTAGCCTGAAAGGCAGTTTCAAAATGAAGTGCTTGGAAGCTCATCCTTCACTGATGGCCACAGGAGGCGGCTGCTGACAGCAGCAGAATGGGGACAGGCCCGCGACCCTGCTCTCAGTGCACGGGTCACCTCTGTCTACCATCTGCCGCCCTCCTCCCACTGTCGCTCATACACACACACATACACAGAGCTAGCAGAGGGACCGGGGCCGGAGGACAGGGGGATGAAGCAAGGCGGGGAGGGTGTAACAGGGGTCCTAGTCTTATTGGGGCCCCAAACAAAAGCCATCATTGTGCCTGTTTATATCCCACCCAATCGTTTGTCAAGCAATGTCAAATAATGTCAAATACTGTCACACAATGGCACGCGCTTTTAGCCTGAAGTGTTCAGGGGCCAAACCTTGGTCAGCCTCTGATTTTTCCAAAATGCACACTGCCAGGAATTACTGTGCATGGGCGAGACTGGCAAAGAATATGATTACACTTCCTGAGTGGGAGTTTTTCCTTGAAGTACAAGAGCCTGCACACTTAAACCGTCTCTACATCATATATGCTATATCTTTTTGTCATTCACAGCATCCATACCCCTCAGAGGAACAGAAAAAGCAGCTAGCACAAGACACAGGTCTCACCATCCTTCAAGTCAACAACTGGTAGGTCACTCTAAAAGCACATGCATCTGCCCTCATGTCTACTCACACACATGCACAATATGTGTGTTTGGTTTTTAAAATGCATTTATAAATTTGACTTGACTTTAGAGAGCTATCTTCATCTCAGTCTTGTCTACTTTATCCTTCATTTGTGCTTCCTTGCCGACAAATTTGAAATTTTTTAATGTTCAGCTGGCCTGTTGTGCACCGACATAAAGGCTACCAACTAAATATTTTGTGTATTTCCCTATAATTTGTATTAAATGACACTTTTAACTGTCCTAGAACATGTGTAGTACATATACATATAGTACAGTATGTAATAAATAATAATATTTAAAAAAGGCCTACCTTATCTTAAAAATAACAAAATATGCCATGCCTGGCTAAGTGACTATATGCCTGTGAATAAAGGTGATGACAACTGTGAGGGTTCAAGGGGTTAAAGACGAGATATCCAATCTCTTCCTCACAGCTTCATTTTACATGTATGACATGAAGGATTAAAACTGTTAGGGCCAAGCTGCCTTTGTAGGCAGTTTATAGCTAGAGACAGGTCCAATCAAACAATCAACCATTCTGCATTTAGTTTCAGACGATACAGTTCCACACGTCTTCAGTTTACTGGTAGCCTACAGAAGGTTCAAATTCGGATTAACTGAGATGACATTGCTTCTAATCCTCTGAAACCCACCAAAGAGTTTAAGTGTATCAGGTTTCCAACAGACCTAATTACACAGCCGCCCACCTCTAATCCAGGGGTAAAGACGACTAGTCAAGGCTCTATCCAATACAAATATCAAAGCATGCAAACTCACCCTGCTGTCTGTTTGCTGGATGTATCAATGGCAAAACATTGTCAAAGCAGTTAGCCTTATCACAGCCTGAGGCTACACGGCTAAACCTAAATCAATACATTTTTTAAGCTATGTGACTTTCTCCTAATGCCCCAGATTATGTCAATAGGAATAAACTAGATTATTAGTCAAATCCCTGGAGAGTCACAGTAGGACTGCAGTTCTTCAAAAGCTGCCGAATGAAATTGACAGTTTTTATAAATACTGGATATATCATTCCTTTTAAATAATTATAATGAGACTGGTGAGGGATAGGGCAGAGCAAGTTTTTTTTTCTTCTGTTTTTAGTATTTCTACTATTTTTACTAATGATGAAGATCAGTGGTTCCCAACCGTTATCAATATGATATATATATAATCTGTACAAATAACCCAAACAGTGAACACAATAACTGCAGGAAGTTTGTGTAAAACCAGAGATTTGGATCAATTTTGAGCAGTTATTATTTCCTGTTCCAGTTTTCCTGATATTTTTTAAGGAACTTTTATACAATTCTCTGAGTTTATTATGTATATTCTTATAATTATGATTATATAATTATTTGATTACAATTACTAGGCTTCCTTTTTGACAAATCCCATCTTCTCATTATTCTATAAGCTCTGGATGTTTTAACTTATGCAGGACAAGGCTTTTTAGTAGAAAGTTGAGGCTTAGTGAATATAGCTTGTGTTCAGGTCTTCAAAGTTTAGATCTAAGTTTAAATCTAAACTTTAAAAATAACACTTGAAAGCAATGCTGAGATATAGGCCAGAGCTTTTCATCATTTCTCATGGCCTTCTTTGATAAATGTAATTTGAATGTAATAGGTTCCATTCTTAGGTCACAGGATGACACCTGTAGTCCATTCACTGAAAAATCCTGTTGGATACTCAAAAAAATTCCTCAAAAGCCTGGAAAAAGCAAGAAAGTGACACTTGAGTGACTCTTTTTTCTCATCAGAGAGTTCACAATTTGTTCTTCTTCTCCAGGTTTATCAATGCAAGGAGGCGAATAGTGCAACCAATGATTGACCAGTCCAACAGAGCAGGTAAAGCTGCAGTTCATTCAGTGTTCAGTGTACTAAATACTTCATCATGGATCAGGTGAATCCAAATACAAACTGTGATGTCTTACTGATATCACTTGTCAAATCCATTGCAGCTACAAGGTGGAGGAGACGAGTTAAAGACAGTATTAAAAGTGAGACAGATTATGTGTCCTCCGTAGACCTTTGGAGAATGGATTGCATGAAGGAGGTGCAGAATTAGGATGTGTTTGGGTGCAGCATGTCTGGGTCTGATAGTAGCTCACTCTGATAGTCTCATGTCTTTTCAACTGTCACAGTAAATCAGGGTACAGCTTACAGTCCAGATGGCCAGCCAATGGGAGGCTTCGTTCTTGACGGGCAGCAGCACATGGGTCTCCGACCTGGAGGTGAGCAATCTCCCATACATTTATCAAAGCATCAAACCATCAAGGGCAAAAGTTTGCCTCCTGTTATAGACCATCCATTAATACCTTTGCTGAAACTTAACCATACTGTAGCTGTGAGAGCAAAGTAATGGATGTATAAAAAAAGCTATATAATTTGAATTATTCCAGGGTTTTGTGGAAATAATCCAATATCACCAGTCTTGGCAACAATAGGGTTGGTTCATTTGTTCAAGACATAGAACAATTGTTTTTAAAGCATTAAAGAAGAAGCACAATATTTAGAAGATTCCTCTGAAGGCAGAAATAACCACACTGGCCGAGTTCGTCTTTTGTAGGCAAGACAGAAAACCTGAGTAATAACTGACTTAAACAAAAGGCAGAAAAGAAAAATCTAATGTTAGGCAAAGAGTGTAACCTAGCCATAAGCCAGTTAGCCTAGCTTGACAGCCCAACTAATCATCAGGTAGCAATTGCAGACTAACCATGTTCTGTGCAGTAAGTGCATGGCAACAGTCATCCCTCTGTTGTGTGCAATCACTCTGAGTTATGCTTTGGCTGATGGGTTTTTGCTCAGTAGTCTTTGAGAAAAGTGGACTGAAGGTCAAAGACAAAACAGAAACCAGCTACAGTGTTTCATGTAGAGCAACTGACTTAAATTTAGCAGTGAAACTGCACATTAAATATGCTATACAAATGAGTACACATCTGATCAAGTTATTTATTTTCATTCAAGAGAGGTTGCTACTGAATGACCTACAAAGACTTTGTACCAGACTTTGTGCCACAGTTTCAAAGTTGCAAGAGTCTCTGATGATAGAGCATGTTTTATGCAGGCTAATAGGATTTTTCTGCTTTCACAGACACCATCATACATCATGCCTGTTGTCTGTATAAAACGTACATTATTTACAGATACTTCCGCTGGCCAGCAGCTGTACAGAATATTGGTCTCTTTGAAACCAGAGTGCTACCATGTTCTGAGCGTTCTGTCATTCTGTTGGTCTTGTTTTACTCCTCATTTCAGGACCAATGGGTGGCATGGGTATGAATATGGGCATGGATGGGCAGTGGCACTACATGTAAATCCACTCCACTGAGGCGAGCCTGAAGAACAGGGTGAAGTAAGTAGTGCAGTCTTTGTCTCTCTTCATAGCAAAGAACCAATTTATTTTTTCCTTCCTTGCTTTCACTCCCACTCCACTCTTCCCCTTCCTCACCAATCTTGTTAGATTGGAAACATGACTTTGCAACCAGGATGTTTGCTGGACTGATTTTCATGTTAGTATAAGAACCGATTCACGGAAATGTTTTTTTCACAATATCATTGTCTTTCTGTTTTGATTTCAAGGCAACATAGCCTGTGAGCATGCTGCTTTTTAACATTTGAAACAGCAGCAGAACCTTCACGATCTGTTTTGTGCATTTAGTCTTTTTTTGGTATCTCAGTGGAATTTACTTTGGGGGAGGGGGTGGAATTTGGGGACCTCTCTAGCGTTCTTAAACCATTGCTATGGTGCTGCTACAGTTTTATTGCAACTGATATAAATGGCGGACAAAACTAATAAAAGTAAACAATTAGTAATAAACTGTAAGTATCCTTTAAAGGACCAGTGTTTAGGATTCAACACGGTGGCCTCTGAAAAAGAGGACCTGCTCCCTCTGTACATAAAAACGGCTCATTCTACAGTAACAAAAACCCAGTTATTCCTATATCCAGGTAATCACCTAATCACATTAGTGTATAATCATACACTAATGAAAACATACCTACCTTGAAAACATACCTATGAATATTCTATCCGATTTCTGACAATTGATCCCACCTAAACGTAGTATGCGATATCAGACGATTTGTGATCTCAGCGCCTACCAATCATCTGGGGATTTCTAAATACAAAATAGTTCAAGCAAAAAAAGTAAGCTAATAAACATTACTTCAAGGACAAGCCTTACCTGAGGCAATGCTCTCACTCCATTCTTCTCCGTAGTGAAACAAACTGAATAACTTTTTATGTCCCGAGCAATGTACATAGTACGACAGTGTTAACAAGCACACAACTTCCGCATGCCGCGTGTCACTGCCCTAAAGACTTTAGATTGGGTCCATTCCAGACTAAAGACGAAACAAAACAGTGTTACTTAACGCTATACAAATAACACTGAATTGAATTGAATTTAATTTAATTGTTAGAACATTGCAGGGAAAAGTTCCGGCAGTGGGAACTGGTTGTTTGAGCTCAACTCAAGCTGGCTGATGGCGTTACGTGCAGCTCAGAGTTTGCATCATTTTATCAATAAATTGCAACTGTAGCAAGTAACTCACTACCAGTAATCTCATTTCATAATTTAGGAAACTAAAAATTATATCTGACTACAAAAAAAAGCCTGAAAAGAGTTGTTACTATGGAGACAATACACTGTCTAGTCTAGTTGCATTGAACTGGCAGGGTTTCAGAATGTTGCAGACCAGGGCAAGTAATCTTTGGTCTGAACTGGACTCTCCACCCACAAAACCTGAGATGAAGTATCTACCGAGTGAAGAATTTAAGAAACTGGCTTGTGAGTCTACCCTCAATGTTACACACTGGACCTTCAAGTCTCTGTCTGAGATAAGACACTCACTAAAGTACCACTCTAGCTTTATAGCATCACCATAGTGCTATAAACAATGTTCAGAGCAGTGAGAAAATAAATGTGTGATTTTAGCAATTTAGAATAGAGGTAAGATTATGCTACCTGCTCTGTGAAACGAGTTTACAGTCAGCTGTTAGCAACTTTGACTTTGGACAGAAAATATTAATAAATAGAATAATATAAATAAATCTTTGAAATCTGTCTGCATAAATTTGGCATTTGGGAAACACATTCCTCTCTGCCACTTTATCTCCACACCACTTCCTCTTTTCCTCTCCATCCCCCTTTTCCTCCATTTTTCTTTTCCTCCATCCTCTCGCCCCCAACAATCTGATTAAGAACCGGGGTAATACTCCCCCTCCTCCGACCCCCCCCTCCTCCGGCCTCTATCAGCTCCCACCACTGCTGACAGTTCTCAAATCAAGACGTATCGCCTGCCGGAGGCACCCGAGCACACAGAATTTTATTTAACACCCACTCTCCACTGCTCAATGAGCCACGCTGTAATGACACTTACCTTGATTAATAGAGCTCTTTATATGTAAATAGGAGCTACATTTGCTTCATTTTTTTTTCACAGGGGCCAATTTTCGCCAGCACAGCCCCCTCTCCCCTCTCCCCTGTCTGATCATTTCCCCGGTTTTGCTAATGAAGTTCAAACAACAGATAGTGACGCTTCACGTAACAAATAAAGAAATAAATACATCTAGATCTGCATAGAGACATCAGCTCTCAACCTGAATGAATGCTGCCTATATATTTTTGGAGAGTTTAACTAATTATTTATCATTGAATGATCATTTAGTTACAGTACAGTAACTGTCCAGTAATAGCTCAGTGGAGCCGGGTGTTTTTGCTTTCCCTAATTTGATCTGTGGCGAGAGCGTATGCTGACTGCGGCAGTAAATCTCCTCCCGGACTGCAGGAAGTAAGAGAGCCGTGTTTGGAGTGATGTGAGGGTTTTCCATGGACGATAAAGCCCGAGCCATAACATTTAACCATTATGGAATACATGACTAAATCTGCACTACTTTACTCTCCTCTCTGCTGCACAATACAGTCGGCTCCTCCAGATGCTCTGTGATACACTGCACATCTCAAGTTTATATGTTTGTGAGGGTATCTAGAAGAGTTCATTTCAAGTGCAATATGACGGAAGAGGGATTAGACCTAAATCAGATTAACTGTAATAGTAAAACAAATATTCTGAGATTCAATTCAATTCAGTTCAATTCAATTTTATTTGTATAGCGCCAATTCATAACAGAAGTTATCTCAGGACACTTTTTAAATAGAGCAGATCTAGACCGAATTTCTTATAACATTTACAGAGACCCAACAGTACCACCATGAGCAAGCACTGGGGTGAGAGAGAGTGTGAAAGAGAGAGAGAGAGAGAGAGAGAGAGAGAGAGAGAGAGACAGAGACAGACAGACAGACAGACAGACAGACAGAGACAGACAGGTGCACAGCAACAACAGTAGCAACAACTACACTAATAGTAGTGACTGATGATGATGAACATGACAACAGCAACGATGGGGGACAATGAGCAGTGACAACAGCAACAACAGTAACCGTAGCAATAATAATACTTATAAAAATAATAACACTAATATCAGTGATATTGGCAATGGCAGTCAAGCAGGACCATGGCAGGAGGCTCCACCAGGATCCATGAGAACCTGTGAGACGAGAAAGCACAAGAACTCTGGGGAAGAAGTGAAGTTAGTAACATGCATTAATGGGACATAAATGAGTGCAGAAAGAGAGAAGAAGAGAGGAGCTCTGCCAATGCAGAGAAGCTAGTACAGGAGAGATGTGATCTCTCTTCCTAGTTCTGATAATAAAGAGTTGCAGTAATCCAGCCTAGAAGTAACAAATGCATGGATTAGTTTTCCTGCCATCTGTCTGTGATAGGATGTGTCTAATTTTTGTAATATTACATAAATGAAAGCAGGCAGTCCTAGAGGTCTGCTTTATGTGGGAATTAAATGACAAATCCTGATCAAAGATAACTCCAAGATTCCTGACAGTGGTGCTAGAGGCCAAGGTAATGCCATCTAGAGTAACTATATCTTTAGACACTGAGTCTCTAAGGTTTTTGGGGCCAAGTAAAAGAATTTTGTTTTTTTCTGAGTTTAACATCAGAAAATTGCAGCTCATCAGGGATTTTATGTCCTTAAGACATGTTTGTAATTTAGATAATTGATTAATTTCATCGGGCTTGATTGATCAATATAACTGCGTATCATCTGCATAACAGTGGAAGTTAATGGAGTGATTCCTAATAATGTTGCCTAAAGGGAGCATATATAAAGAAAATAGTATTGGTCCAAGTACAGAACCTTGTGGAACTCCATGACTAACTTTAGTATTTATGGAGGATTCATTGTTAACGTGTACAAACTGAGAATGATCTGATAAGTATGACCTAAACCAGCTTAGGGGGGTTCCTTTAATGCCAATTTGATGCTCAGGTCTCTGTAAAAGAATATCATGGTCAATGGTGTCAAATGCAGCACTAAGATCTTATAATACAAGTACAGAGACAAGTCCATTGTCGGAAGCAATCAGAAGGTCATTATTAACTTTAACCAGAGCTGTCTCTGTGCTGTGATGAACTCTAAATCCTGACTGAAAATCCTCAAATAAACTATCGTTATGTAGAAAGTCACACAACTCTTTGGCGACTACTTTCTCCAGAATCTTAGAGAGGAAGGGGAGGTTAGAAATCGGTCTATAGTTAGCTAAAACCCCTGGGTCAAGAGTGGGCTTTTTAAGAAGGGGTTTAATTACAGCTACTTTAAAGGACTGTGGTACATATCCTGATAATAAAGAAAGGTGGATCATATCCAGTAAAGAAGTGCCAATTAAGGGTACGACTTCTTTAAGCAGCCTAGTTGGGATCGGGTCTAATAGACAGGTTGATGGCTTTGATGTAGAAATTATTGAAGTTAACTGATAAAGATCGATAGCAGAAAAACAGTCTAAATATATATCTCAGTTTACATTAGTTGAAGTTCCTGAACTTGGAGAGCCACTGATAGCTGTTGATGGCAGTTGGTGATTAATTTTCTCTCTAATAGTAATAATTGTATTATAAAAGACGCTCATGAAGTCATTGCTACTTAGGTCAATAGAGCTGTGACTCTCTGTCAGCCTGGCTACAGTGCTGAAGAGGAACCTTGGGTTATTCTTATTTTCTTCTGTTAGTGCTGAATAATAGGCTCCTCTGGCATTACGGAGGGCCTTTCTATAGGTTTTATGATTATCTTGCCAAATTGAGCGATATTCTAATAATGTCTATGTTTTAATAATTTCCTTTTTATAGGAGCAATAGAGTCTCATGTTGATCGTAGTGAGCCTGCAGCACTATTAACAAGTTTATCAATTTGGGAGGGACTACAGTTATTTTAGGACTCTGTTATATTCAGACATGGCATTGAATTAAACACTGAAGGAATCTCCTCCTTAAATTTAGCTACAGCACTGTCAGATAGACATCTGCTGTAGGAAGTTTTGCCTAATGGCTTATAATCTAATAATATGAATTCAAAAGTTATTAAATAATGGTCAGATAGAAATGTTCAATATCAATGCCATATGATAGAATGAGGTCAAGAGTGTGATTAAAACAATGAGTTGGTTTATTTACACTCTGACAGAAGCCAATTGAGTCTATTAATGATATAAATGCGTTATTAAGGCTGTCATTTTCAACATCCACATGAATATTAAAATCACCTACAATAATTACTTTATCTGATTTAAGGACTAAACTTGAGAAAAAAAAAATCAGAGTACGGTCCAGGAGCGCGGTACACTATAACAAATAGAACTGGCTGCAGTGTTTTCCAGTTTGGGTGAGAAAGACTAAGAACAAGGCTTTCAAATGAATTATAATTTAGTTTAGGTTTAGGGTCCATTACAACTCTTGAATAAGGTCATACATCAACAAACTCCTCCCACCAGAGAAGACAGTAGCTGAAAGCTCCGGAAAAAGTTTGTAAGTGAGTAAAGATTATTTTGTGAAATTGAAAACAAAGATAGTTTTAATTACATATCACCAACAAAGAGCACATAGGGACATTTTTATCAACCCCCACCTCACCCATTGAACAAAGGACAAATAATTCCATTAACATCATAAATAAATAAGACAAACAATTGCATTAAGGGTTTTATCTGCTTCCATATTTTAAATAAAGGTAAAAAGTAACCATTCCTCTAATGACCCAAATGTTCAAACCCCATTCCCCAACTACTTTAATTCTCCCAAAAAAGACAGTGGAGGACCCACACACATTTTTTACCAAAGCAAATCATTATGGCTGCAGTTCTAAACAAATAACTTTTCTGACTATAACTTTCACTATATCCTGATAGTAGTGCATGAGACAGATAATCTGTAAAAATCAGGTGCCTCTGGCTCCTCCCAGTGCTCCTAATGGTATTTGCAAGAATCCATCGGGCCTGATTGTTGCATTTCATTCCCAGGGCGTCAAATATAACACTTTGAGTTTATGGTTTGAAGATAGTTGGTTGTTAAGTCTTAACCATCTTTCTTGGCTCTGATTGGTTGTTTTTGTTTAGGCGCAGTAGATTTTTGCAAATACCATTTGCAAAGCCCACAATAGGAGAACTAGGAGGAGCCAGAGGAACTGGATGTTTTCACAGATTATCTGTCTCATGTACTACTGTCAGGATATAATGAAAGTTTCAGCAAATATGACAAAACTCCATAAAACATAAAACAAAAAGTTATTTGTATAAAAGTTACCTACTGCAGATTTAAATATTTAAAATATAAAATTAATTGATTAATTTGCTAACTAGAAAATGTTAAGTAAATGTAACTTTAAAATAATTTCCTATCTTCTCATGACGCCTCAGTCTTGCAACCCCCAGTGGCATCATGAGAAGATAGGATAGAACATTATGTTTGTAATTTTAGAATTTACTCTAATCTTTTTTCAGGTGAAGAATAGATCATTTTACCCAGGGGCAGCTGTAAAGGGTTGGATGGGAGGCAGCAACAAATGCCTGGACACCCAAGCTGCCACTCTAGTTTGGTGTCAAACACATTAATTTGGATTGATTTTGAAACGTGTTTAAAATTGTATTTATTTAACAATATATTATTATTTTAGACTCACTGATATGCTTAAGCTCAATGAAAAAAGACATATTCGGAAAAATGTCCGTTTGGAAATAAAACAATTGTGCCACAATAAAGTTTTTGAGCAAATATTGAAAGGATTGTTTTCAATTAAATCAGCATATTCTGCCAACCTCGCCCACCCAACCACTCACCCATTAACACACATAACCTGTGTCCTCTGTGTGTGTTCAGGCCTCCATGGTTGGCTCAGGGATCTTCTTCCATCTGGCTGTGGAGCTCAGTACCGGGACCTGTCTCTGCAGCCGTTACGCCAAAACCCCCACCTGAACCTTCACCATTCCCACCTCTCACCTTGGCCCGCACGGTGCAGCGCGCGCAGAAGGATCACCATGAAAACGCCTAACCTCTGCACCGGAGGCCGCCTGTAGAAAAAAAACTTTCAAACTGTGAGCTGAGGAGCGTGACGGCTGCACGCAAACGGAGACGAGCGAAAAGGGACTTCACAGTGAAGCAGTCTGACACATTCTCCTTTCCCTTTTAAATTATTTATTTATTTTTATACAACTGGCGGACCAAGGGGATGACGACTTTTTTCCTCTTTGTTCTTTTTTTTAAGTAAAGCTTTGCCCCCAAGACCCCCTAAAATCTGCCCGTCCGCTCCGAATGAAATTGTACAAAGAACACAAACATACACACACACACACACACACACACACACACACACACACACACACACACACACACTCTCTCCTTTATAGGACTGAACAAAAAACACTGTGGAATATCTTTGAGAAATATGAGGTTTTAACTGTCGTGCTGTATAGATTTGTGCTCTTTATTTGGCTGTTTCTATCCATGTTTGCGCTTGTGATCACTAGACGTTAGAGTGAGCTTTCACCACTGAAATGTTTCTTTTTTTTAACTAAAAAACAAGATTTTTAAAGAAAAAAAAATCTCTGAATACTTATTTCTGTTCTTTTCTCTTTCTTCTGTTTTACTCGTTTTTTTATTTTATTCTTTTTGGACAATGTTTGAAATAATTTTATAGCACCAAAACACAGAAAAGAGGTCTGCACTAAAAATAAAGACTTGATTGAGGGAGATGAACGCAGGCGCAGGAGAGTGTTTTAATCGTTTAGTTCTTTTCCTGCGGGCTCATTTCAGAAACTCGGAGAGGAGAAAGGTCAGTGTAGGCGTTTGGAGAAAACGCTTTAAGCAACAACATTAGTTGGTGGAGCAGGTCACGTAGAGCCCGCTCCGGTTCGATATGAGACGGGATTGCAGTTGTCTCGCGTTATTCGATTGATGGTGACAGGGATGATGGATGACCCGGCTGCGAAATTCAAGAAAACCAAGAGAGCGGAGGCTGCAGCTTTTACTAAATGTTGTTTCTATACAGCCTGTTCTGCTGAGATGCTTGGATGCGTGTAAGTGTTTGTGTGTGTGTGTGTGTGTGTGTGTGTGTGTGAGTGAGAGAGAGAGAGAGAGAGAGAGAGAGAGAGAGAGAGAGAGAGAGATGTAGAGAAATGAAAAGAAAATGTGGATAAACGGTGGTTGAGTCACATTGTTTCCTAAAAAATGAATAAATTCCTTTGTTTTCAAAGAAACTGATTTTTTTTTTTTACATTTTTAAAGTCTTTTCCAAAGTATCTTTGGTATATTTTCTACATCTGCATCACGGGAGGAAATAAATAAACACAGACACTACAAGTAATAAATAAATAACAGAAACCGAGGCGCTCATTTATCACTGTCAGCTTGTAACGATCCTCTGTGGTTGGTATTGACGAGGGGAGCGGCGGCCAGAGCGCACTGCTGGAGAGCTGGAGGAGGCCCAAATGCGCCTTCATCATTATTGATAAATATTAATTTTAATCGGCAATACACAGAAATTATCACCCACTTTAGACGTTATTTTGCTATATAAAATTTAGCAAAATAACTATATTATTATTATTATTATTATTATTATTATTATTATTATAATAATAATGTAATAAGCATTACACTTTAACAGAATATTTCAATTTGTGCGACAAAATGTACTCCCTCTCTGCACTGTCCCCAAATCAAACAACCTCTTTTTTCAGACATATTCCTTTTTATGTTCCACTTGGAGCAAAGCATGAATTTATTATTTATTAAATGTATTACTATATGGGCATAATGTGGCACCGGACCTGCTTATGTCTGACTGCCTGTCATGTTCTTTAGATCGTAAGCCTATAATAGGCTAAAAAACGGAATACTTAAAAATATATTTACTTCGGCCGTTTTCAGAGTGGAAATAAATTGGAAACGTGGAGCAATCGAACGCAACGCCATATTGAACGGAGAATACACTTTAATCTCAAGAAACAGACTATTTAGGCCTGCTGCGGGGTTATGGGATTGCACAGCAATGAGATCTGTTTCAAATGACTTTCCAGGTCATAATCAGTGTATAAAAACTGCAAAGTTCCCTCAGAATTCCCCTCTCTGTGTCCCCAAATGTGCCCGTCTAACGAACAATTTGGAAACGGCCTCTATCTCGCTCCGCACAGAGGTGGATTGGAGAGAAAGCGTGCAGCGAGAAGACAAATACAGAGTGGAATGATTTCCCTCTCTTGCAGCGCATATGAGCGCCGCTCTAACAGGCCTAATTCATTCAGCCCTGCCGACTGTGCCGCTGAAGATAAATGCGTTCTGAAGGCTGCCGGAAACAAGCGCGTATCCCTGTGAAATATGGGTCAGAGCTCCCGCAGAAAGCTGCATCTCATGATGCACAAACTCCGAATGCCCCCTCACAACAACAGAGTGCAGCCTATCATTCAGTGGAATATTACCAATACAGTCCGTTCAAATACACTATGTATAGGTTACTATGGGATATTATAGAGGTATTGTAATATGAATAAGGTCACTGTAAACTACACAAAATACGATAATGTAGAAATATTATAGTGGGAGGCTCAGCATAGCACCATGGACCACAGATACACAGATGACCGAAATTTTAAAAACATCATAAAACTGTGATACCATTGGATTAAAGAAAATGTGACTCAATCTCACTACTGAACCCCATACACCCCAATGTTTCTTATACATATACTACAAAAGGAACTACAGCCAAAGTCTGTGGTTACATTACGTTTATACTAGGGTATATTGTTTCATTGTTCATCATTTTGACATGTATATATATATATGTATATATATTAAATCACCCTTTGAATGATATATGAACAAAGTCCTCTGTAAAAACCTTCAGAATATAGAAAATAATAAAACTGAAAGATTTGGTGTATGTAAGTGCTACTATATTGGAGATTTCTGACTCAGATGGTGAGAAAAAAAATCATGTTGTTCTTCTATTCTATTCATTTTGTATGACACAAAAAAGTTCAAATAATAGATATCACCATGAAACATCCCCAGTGCATTACTTACAGTAAGACAATTTTGTTTTCTAAATTGTAATGTTTACATTTTTAAATGAGGCAGTTAATGCTTAACTTTAAATTTACAGAAAAAAAGCTACATGTAGTAAAATAAACACCTCAATGTGTATTTTTATTTCCACTTGTCCAAAAGAATACAGCAGAATAGCCCACAATCTTAAAATCTGACCATTGCATGAATATTATATAGACATAATTACAAGGACTACAGTGATGTATGATTTCAGTAGAGTTCCATTCACTCCAGGTATATGGTGACATTAGAAATGTTATACATATAGCATAAAAAGAACTACAACGATCTGTAATTATTCAGAATGACAGCAATAGGGGCGGCTGTGGCTTGTCCTCTAATCGGAATGTTGTCGGTTCGATCCCCGACTCCTGCTGCCACATGTTGAAGCATCCTTGAGCAAGATACTGAACCCCGAATTGCTCCCAATGCTGTGTATGAATGCATTAGTTTCTGTTTGATGGAATGTGTGTGAAAGGGTGAATGTGGCATGTAGCGTAAAAGCACTTTGAGTGGTCGGAATACCAGTAAACGGCATACATAATTAATCTCGCAACTATAACTGGGTAACGTCATAAGAATAATTGTGGCCTATACAATAAGGTCAAGTACCAGAAACATTAGTTTTAACAAGGATCAAATCATTATAAACTCATTATAGTCCATTCTTTATAGGAATATTACATCAGTTCTCCATGTTTTATTAAGGCTACACTGTAATCATGTATTCTCACAGAGGATCATAATCTACAATTGAATGTGATACTCAAAGTCCACGTAAAAAGCACTGGTTCATTTCAAATTATTAATTACCTTACTAATTTGTCTCTCATTTTGATCATAAAAACAGTGCACAATGCCACAAAAGTGCCCTCTTGGATGCCCCTATTGTAGATAAAACATGATAAAGTTCCCTCTTGGGCGATAACCCTCCCTGACGAAGTTGTTTCACCATCAATGCATCACAACTTTATTTCAAGCGGCAACCTCCATGGCTGCAAATAAAGCCAACACAAAAGCCTCTAACGGCCACTTGAGGCTGGCTCCAGAAGTGAGTCAATCTTCATAAGGCCCCATATTAAAATGCCAAACAGCAGAAATAAACATGTTTACAACTTGGTACAAAAAACACTTTTGATCTCTAAAGCTAATTTCCCCAGTCATAACAACTGTACTGTGAATTTTTATATAACTCAGCTGTTTAAATTATATGAAGGCTTAAAGCTATACATAATTAAGGGTGTGGCTATTTTTAGTAACAGGAGGGTGCCATCATAGGTGTCTGTTTTCAGTAACCAGGCTTCATTCAGCCCACTCAACTCCACCCACTACCCAACTCTTTGTCCATTTTGGATTAGCCGGGAGCAAGCAGAGTCAGGACTGCCAAAATAGCGTCAACCAGAGCTGACCACACTGAGCTTCACAATAGCTCTTCAGAAACGTTCCTTAATTGGAAGGTTGTGGGTTCGATCCCCAGCTCCTGGTGCCACATGTCGAAAAATCAGGATACTGAACCCCAAATTGCTCCTGACGCTATGCATCGGTGTGTGAATGTGTATGAATGTTACTTTCTGTTCGATGGGCTTTGCCATCACTGTGTGTGAAAGGGTGAATGTGGCACGTAGTGTAAAAGCACTTTGAGTGGTTTGAAGACTAGAAAGGCGCTATACAAGTACAGGTCCATTTACCATTTACCATTGTAGTAATAAACAGGAATTATTGCTTAGGTAAACACTGATTCTTAAGTGATAATCCCTCCCAGTTGTTCACAATCACTAACACACACAGAGACATACAATAATCAATCGAACAAATAAAGTACACCTGAACGTGTTTCAAGAAAGTCTTACAGATCTCCTCAGGGTCCGGTGTTTTTTTCAGTACAAGCAGAGAGACGTAACTGCAGAGTAGATGTCCTTAATGGAAGACAGAGAAGCAGAGAGTTGGTGACATTGATGGCTCAGTCCTCTCCCAGAACACTCATCTTCTCAATCATGTCTTCATCCTGTCAGCAAGCTGCAGCAGTAGAGGGAGAAGTACTCTTATCCTTTACTCATGAAACTTTTCCATTTGATTAATTAAAGGTTGAGTGTGTTACATTTAAGAAACAGAATATAATATTCATAGCTATGTTTTTATTAGTGTATAATCAAAAATATCCAGAAGGGACAAACCAAATCCAACTGGTTCTAGATAGCCTTTTACTTTTCACAAGTTTCATGACCACTGTAGTTTCACCCAGCCCCTTCTCATTCCTAATCTGCAACTTCACTGCTAGATGCCACTAAATCCTTCACACTGGTGCTTTAAATTAAGAGTTTATATTTTTTGTTTTCTGAAATTGTATGTTTAAACATTTAAAGGAGATATTATCTAATATTAACTTTGGTGAAATTGACAGGTGGAAACAGATAAAGTGTAGTGAAATAAACACCTGTATTTTGGGCGTTTTCACTACACTAGTATGGAAAAAGTAACCCAATATCTCAAAACTGAAAATCAAAAGTAAAAGTATTCACTGTGCACTATAATGAACTAATCTATGTAGTGTTGCATAGTTTAATCTATAGCACTGGATCACACTGGATGTATGGATGTTGTTGTTCCCGTAAGAAGTGTGTGCTGCTATGCAAACAACAAGCCCTGGATTACAAGTCACGTCAAGGGCCTTCTTAACCAGAAGAAGAGGGCCTTTAAAGACGGTGATCAGCAGGAGCTTAGACACGTACAGAGGGAACTCAGAGTCCAGCTCAGGGAAGCGAAGGAGCAGTACAGAGGGAAGCTGGAGTAGAAACTGCAGAACAACAGCATGAAGGAGGTGTGGGATGGGATGAAGACCATCACCGGCTGCCGCTCAAAGTGGGGGGCCCACATGGAGGCAGATGCAGAGAAAGCGAACCCGATGAACCAGTCCCTCAGCAGGTTCGACCACCCCATCCCGTTCACATCTCAGTTCACCATACCCCCTTCTGCTGCTGTCTCTCTCTCGCTCTCGCTCCCCTCAGGAGCCAAGGAGGAGCTGGTTGTCCCACCCACTATTACGGCAGCCCAGGTGTGTGGAGAGCTGAGGAGGCATCGTCCCAGCAAAGCAGCAGGTCCAGATGGAGTATCCCCTCGACTTCTGAAGGCCTGTGCGTTGGAGCTGGGACTC